CCTATACTGCATGTCAAGTCAGAGTGGCAATAAACTTCAGACACTGAATTCAGTTTTTTTCCTAGAGTGCTTACATGGGGTTGTGGAATGAAAGAAGCTTCACGACTTTCAGTATTGGTATTTTTCAATTTGTACACAGATGGAGGAGTTTTTTAATAAAGTCCCTTAAGTCCCTTATAAATGCCTTTTTTTCAAATAACTAAATCAATTAAGTGACATCTTTCCAATATATTTAAGTAATTGTTTGCTTTTTGTTCTGTAGAAGGCTTTCAACTTTTTGTGTGCCTCTAAATGCTGATATTAGTCACTTCTAATCAAGTCAGAAAAGCTTTGTTTTTAACTATAAACCTAATTGTTGCGAGTCCACTGTAACATTAAGCTGTAACCTGTAATTTTCACATTGATCTTATAAGATATGTTTGTTGTTTTTACATTTTTTTACATTGCCTATTGTGTTTGTTGACTTGTGAAGCCCTCTGAGACAAATAGGATTTGTGATTTTGGGCTATATAAATAGACTTTAATTGAATTTAATTGAATTAACCTGTCGTACGGCTATGAAGATTTCTGTTCCCTCCACATTGTGTCATCACCACCTGTTTTTACATCTGCAAGCCCTGTTCCCCATAGAAGAGCTGTCGAACATTATCTCGTCTATAGTTAGCACGGCTATTATCAACTGGTGTTGACATTCCCTTCTCTCATTACACCGTTATCGCAACCTTGCAACCTTTGAATTAATTAGTTGCTGCAAGTCAATTAGCTTCCTGTGCAAATGCACCGTGCCTGTCAAAACACCCTTCAAACCACAGCGCTCCAAAGAGTTTCTAATAATTACTTGGGGGTTGATCTTGGAAACTTAAATTTGTTGTGAATTGTCGGTTTTCCTCAGTGTGTGTGGGGCTCGCAAAGCAACTGATAAGCTTTAACTCTTGCAAGCCTTTTATAAAGATGTCCACATAAGAATCAAACACTGTTTAGTGATTTTAAAACCAAATGGGTTACAAATCATTAAGCTCAGTCTATCTTTGCTAGCCGTTTTAAAGCAGGATGATTATAAAATATGGTCTCCTGTTTTGATATGCTCACATGGAATTAGAGAAAGCCTCTACTGCACAGAGTCTCACTCAGAGGACTCCTCAGGTGTCCAGCTGTGTCCTCAGGCACTCGTATTAAAGAAGGCGCACAGCAATTACCCAATTTCTCTGCTGCTAATAAAACATTCAGGAGTTTCAAAGGTTTTTCTTAGCAGACCAAGCTTTATACTGCATACGTACAGGTTTCCAGTGAGAAGCGATATTAATTATAAACATAACTGTGTCAAGGACACATTTCCTTTCTGCACTGTTTTCCATACCGTAAGTAGATGTACACGCTGCAACTGGGGCACTTGTGAATTTCGGCATCATGAGGGGACTTCTGTGCAAAACACTTGTATCCTCTGGTCCTTGGGAGTTGAGAGATTATTGACCATGTAAGTAATAAGTGGTCACTTGTCTTTGTAGTTTTAAAAAGCAAATTGCTTAGAAGCCTGTAGTGGGGGGAAGAAAGCAGGGAAAAACTGAAAAGAAAAGGATAGACCCACATGGAAGTGAAACTCCAATAATAAAGTCCAAAACAGAATACAGCTCTTTTAGGGCCCTGATGGCTGCTTTGGGTTTCCAGGTCATGCTTGCAAATGAATTTTTCTGGCTGTTACAGTCACTGAGAACATGCCTCAACTGCCAGGAGCTGGGAGAGAAATGGAGCCGTTAGACTTACAACAGCATAAAACAACTATTTATATCACCACTGGTTTCACGACTGGATTTATGATTCTTTTAAATCTGTCTCTGCAAAAGGCAGCGCTGTCAAAAGCCCAGACATTGTAAAAACACATTGCACTCCGTTGGATTCTTTAAAGGTGGGGACGGACGCCGTTTTAAAAAAATATAGTATACTGCAACAACATTTATCAGTCTGTCACGGTTTAATACTAAATATATACATATATTTGAATGGCAGTAATAAGTACTTAATTAAATATATATTGTGACTCTTTCACTGACCCTGAATCTTTCCCTCTTTCAGCGGCAAGCATATATATGGCAGATTATATTTTAGAAGGATACATTGGAATTGTTAAACTCTTAACCATCATTAACGTGACCAATATTCAAAATTGTAATATTACTGAAAAATATCAAATCAAAAGTTTATAAGATGAATTAAACGTAGCGAAAACAGGTTTAGCATAAATAAATTGTAAACTGATCATATCAACTTAATTAGATCCTAAGAGGGGCTCTATGCACATAACGGAGAGTAGAAACAAATGAAATCACACTGATAGAAAACATAAAAGTGAACCTTTGCATATAACTTTTGTAATACAATTAGATGGAAAATGTACATACAACAATAGATTAATCACAAATATATAAATTAATAACTTTATCTGAATAATCATTAGTTGCATTTAATAGTATACCAGTCACGTCGGCATTCAGTACTTTCATTCTTAAAACAAATTATTTACATTTCAATACTTGATATTCGTGATTATACTTTCGATACTAGTATTCATTTAATTCATTTAGCTGCTGCACTTTAATCCCCTTAATTAAATCTGGGCAAAGACTAAAATGTATTTGTCCTTTTTTTCTTTTCCTATATTTACTTTGAAGTTGTTCTAAGGCATTTCTGCTTGATTTGATTTATTTCAAATGTGTAAAACAATAATACAAAAATGTAACATGAGAATTATTATACAATACAAAATTGAGCAACGTCAAATTGATATACAAAAATATTACTAATTCTAAATTATATATCAACAAATAATCAAATTAATTACACACCCGAAAAGGGGTGGGAAGGACTTTAAAATTATGTAATCCCACCTTTTCTCCCAAAAACTAAATTATTAACATATATACAGTGGGGCAAAAAAGTATTTAGTCAGCCACCAATTGTGCAAGTTCTCCCACTTAAAAAGATGAGAGGCCTTGATACGGTGAGTGAAGCAGGTAGGACCCAAACGCAGATAACATTTGATAACACCTTTATTTCAAGGTCTAGAGTAAACGTGGAACAAACAAAACACTCTCCGGTGAACTAAGTCACGAACAAAAGAAGCACCAACACTGAACACAGGAGGAGACAAGACTAAATACACAGAAGGGTAATCACAGGACAAGAAACAGCTGGGCAGGGGAGGAGAAACACAAGGGCCACAGGTGAAAACAATCAGACAACTAGACACCAGGGAACTATTGACAAGAGGAAAAACACAGGGAAAAGGACCAGACAATAACCCAGAGGAAAACATGACATGGAAAACAGCAAAAACACCCAAACCTACAAAACTACAACCGTGACATGAACCCAGGAGCGGGACATAACCCCCCCCTCAAGGGACGGATTCCAGACGTCCCAAAAAACAAAGTCCAGCAGGGTGGGTGGAGGGTGTCTGGAGGACGGGTCTCGGGCAGCCGGCCCGGGGGCAAGGCAGAGACCAAAGTGGGGAATTTGGGCGGACGGCCCGGGGGCAAGGCAGAGTCCAAAAAGGGGAACTCGGGCGGACGGCCCGGGGGCAAGGCAGAGTTCGAGGAGGGGGTCTCGGGCGGACGGCCCGGGGGCAAGGCAGAGTTCGAGGAGGGGTGAAGACCACCGCGGGCGAACTCAGGGGACCGGGCTCGAGGGCGAAGACCGGACAGCTCCGGAGGCCGGGCAGGAGCCGGTGTCTGCAAGATCCCTCATGGAAGAGGACACAGGACCGGCAGGACCCCCGGCAGGAGAGCAGTCTGCGGGACCTCCAACGGGACAAGACATGGAGTTGGCAGGACCCCCGGCAGAAGAGCAGTCTGCGGGACCTCCAACGGCACAGGACATGGGGTTGGCAGGACCCCCGGCAGAACAGCAGTCTGCGGGACCTCCAACGGCATAGGACATAGGGTTGGCAGGACCCCCAGCGGAACCTCCAACGGCACAGGACAAGGGGCTTGAGTGGAGACTCGAGATGAAACTTGAGAGTTGACTTGAGAGATGACTTGAGAGGGATCTCAAGCGATGACTTGAGTTGACTTGAGTAGTGACTTGAGAGGGGACTCGAGAGGTGACGTGAGAGGGGACTCGAGATGGGACTCGAGAGGTAGCTCGAGAGGAGACTAGAGAGGAAACTGGAGAGGGGACTTGAGAAGGAACTGGAGAGGAGACTTGAGAGGTGACTTGAGACGGTTGGTTCGCCAACAGAACACGGGGAGCTGGCGTCGGACGGACAGCCAACATGACACGGGGAGCTGGCGTCGGACGGACAGCCAACAGGAGACGAGGTGCTGGAGTCGGCCGGTATGCCGACAGGACACGGGGAGCTGGCGTCGGACGGACAGCCATCAGGACACGGGGAGCTGGCGTCGGACGGACAGCCAACCGGAGACGAGGTGCTGGAGTCGGCCGGTACGCCGACAGGACTCGGGGAGCTGGCGTCGGACGGACAACCAGTCCTGTAGCCGAAACTGGAGTCGGGACCATGGCTGCTGGGGCCTGTTCTGGAGCCCGAACCATGGCTGCTGGGGCCGGAACTGGGGCCGGGACCATGGCTGTAAGGTCCGGTTCTGGAGCCGGAAACATGGCTGTAAGGTCCGGTTCTGGAGCCGGAAACATGGCTGTGTGGGCCGGTTCTGGAGCCGGAAACATGGCTGTAAGGTCCGGTTCTGGAGCCGGAAACATGGCTGTGTGGGCCGGCACTGGAGCCGGAAACATGGCTGTAAGGTCCGGTTCTGGAGCCGGCAACATGGTTGTAAGGTCTGGTTCTGGAGCCGGAAACATGACTGTAAGGTCCGGCACTGGAGCCGGAAACATGGCTGTGTGGGCCGGCACTGGAGCTGGAAACATGGCTGTAAGGTCCAGTTCTGGAGCAGGGGCCATGGCTGCTGGGCGTGGAGCGGAAGCCTGGACGCTGGCTGTGTAAGCCAGGTAATGGAGTTTGGAAGCAAAGCTGCGTGGGCCGGTACCGGAGCATGGAGCCATGGCTGCTGGGGCCTGTACTGGGGCTGGAGCCATGGCTGTGTGGGCCGGTTCTGTAGCCGGAACCGTAGCTGCTGGGGCTCGGGCTGCTAGCCTGCCCTTGCGACTCCTTCTCTTCGCAGCCGCCTGAATACTCCGTGGACCTCCATAAGCCAGACGAGTTCCATCATACGACTCCTGAACAGGAGCAGGAACTGGGGAAGAAGCAGGGGTTGACTTCAGACGGAACACACCGAGACGTTTGTAGTCAGCAGGCTGGAAATCACCAGTGGCGAACCGTCAGGGCCTTCAAGGTATTGAGAGAATACCCTGATAACTCAGATAAAAAAAATACATTTATCGATTTAATTATATAAATACAATTTAATAAAATGTAATAAAATGTAAATACATTTTATAAATGAGAATCGTATCTGTGTTGTTGATCTGTAATAAACAGTGTTACGTTGATTTGTTTGTCCTTCTCGGACCTTGCACTACGCATTTTAGAAAAGAAATGCAACCAATCAGATCTGTTTCTGCATCTGTGGGTATTCTGTATCCTTGATAGAAGGCCCTGGTTGTTGAAATGAATGAGAGCGAACACTCTGGCTACAAATCAATATATGATTGGTTGATCAAACTGTCAATGGGCGTATTCTTTCGGAGTTTCCCACGGTGCAGGGTATGCTAGAAGGCCCGTTAGTTCTGACAGGTGCGAGACACAGGATATAGATGGGACGTAACAATTCATTTTCTGTTTTATTCGTTTTAACGTTGACATGGCATCAGGTGAAGAAGATGTTGTTGCGGAATTATTGTCGGTTCCTTTTTCAAGACGACAATTCACTGAAAAGACGGACATTGTAAAAAAAGGGCGCCCAACGCCTGAAAATCTGAAGCTGAATCAAGTTGCTAAAGGCTATGTTCGCCATTTCCAGGCTAGCAACTGTGAAAGATACCCGTGGCTTACGGGCTCAGTTAGTCACAAAAGGCTCTACTGCTGGGAGTGCTTGCTTTTTGGGACCGAAAAGGGGGCATG